ATAAACATTACAGTTTAAACATGCATTTTACGAGGTGTTTCCATATTTTTGTCCAGTTCCTATATTTTTTTTATACTTTCTGATTATCTGCAAGCCCATGGAAAAGTATTCATGAGGCAAAGCAGTATGTTGCTGAAACAGTTATATGGCAACCCATGATGTCGCCAAAAGGTATTTATATAACAACCAGGTAAGCGCATAGCATAGGTCTGTTTTGGGTGGTGTGCTTTGCTAAAATTTGTATGGATGCTGAATTTGTACAGATTTCTGAATTTTTTTTTTTAAAGCAAAAACAGATTGCTGTGTGCCTAGGGACGAAATAGAATTTTCTTGAAAAAGGTATATTTTAAGGTTTATTTTTTTGATGGCTCTCATATGGAATTCTTCTTATATGAAATTTTGCTATTTTGAAGATGTCTGTTGTCTTTTGTACATTAGCTTGGCGAAATATTTGTCAGAAACGAGTTCATAAAATTATTGTTAAATTAACCGCACCTCCCTGGACAAGTTGCAAACTTGTTGCCAACTTCGGAAAGCATTTGCAATTTCACTGGCAACTAATTTTTTGCTAGTATGTGAGAGACGGCAGTCATTTTTCAAAGCAGCAGTGGGCTAAGAATTCCACACAAGAAGTAAAGTAAGTAATAAAGTTAAAAAGCAAGAAATGAATATAAAATACTTACCATTTTTTTAGAAATTCTTTTTTTGCACTGTCATTTGCCCCGTGTACACATTAATCTGTTTTGTCTTAAAAAAATATGAGAGTATCAGTAACGCGGCATCCGTTCAACTTCTGCATTATACGTGGGCCAAAATAGACATGTGCTACTTGCATACCAGGGTTGCCATATAAATACTTTTTAATGGCATTGTGCATTGCCTGTTATTTTGAGATACAGCTGTGCCTCGAGATTGGCTGTGTAATTCAAGATGATTGAAATAATATATTGATTTTCCTGTTATTAGTATTTTTTTGCTGGTATTAAATGTACATTTTTGTTTTTGGTTTTTTTAAATTCAGTAATTACAGAGTCTGAGTAAGTAATTGTGCATAAATAACCAAACAATAATAGAACTGTAGATTAAATGAGAAAGAAGGGTCATGAAAAAAGCTATTTAGTTTTTGCAACTTATTCATATTTCTGCTCTCACCCACCAGTGGCCAAGCGGTAAAGTCGCTGAACACTGGTAGTTCGATCCGAGATTCAAATCTAGTGAACGGGCTAGCTGCATGGGCGTTTTCGAGGTTTTCCCCTTGTGTAACGTGTATACGAGCCAGTTTCCTTAGAAAGCCCTCCACGAAGGCATCCATCCCCTTAGGCAGATATCTCTCGAGGCTTTGCCATAATCACACACACACACATATTCTCCTCATTGGTTTAGCCTATTGCACAACAAGTGGTATCTGTTCTGAAGCATTTTAGAGCTTGGCTCAAAGGAAATGTGAATGCTGCGGAGCCTCAAATGGTTGGAAGTACAAGGTGGAACAGTCTGAAACATGGCTTGGAATCTTGCATAAGAAATCACCTATATTACTTACAAATATTTAAAAATCATGACACTGGCAATAAAGAAATGATTGAAATAATCAGTAATAATATGATTCAAGTAGAGGGGAAACATGCTAATGTAAAATTTTAAAATAAGCAATAAAGCAATCTTAGTTTGGCATAGATTTTTAATAAAACACATCAATTTCAAGAGCTATCATACAAGTTCTTCTTCAGGAGGGGAAAAAAAAGCTTCTGAAATTTTGGCTGAAAAGAAAGATTCAGGGAATAAAAACATATATATATATAGCCAAAATTACACACATGCACACATATTTGTATACATTCTTTTGTACACACACACACACACACACACACACACACACACACACATATATATATATGTACAAAAGATTCTCAATTAAGTAGGATGAAACTGATGATGACATAATATAGTTATTCATAATCAATGTTAGCAATTCTTGAAACACAGGAATGGGGGAATAAACCATGTAATAATTAACAGATAAAAGCTATTAACAATTTACCTGTATTTTTAAGTAATTTAATTGGGAGAATAAGTTCATTTGGTTATGTAAATTAAATCTGGACTCAAACAAGAACACATTTCAAAACACTAAAAGCAATGTTCTTGCTTATATTACTCTCATACTTTGATAGTCGATATATCTCATATTTTGATAGTCGATATGAAACAGATTGTGGGGTAATGCCCGAACCTGCTACCCAAAGCCCCTGTTGTACTGCAGGGTTGAAATGAATTCCCAACTGAAGTTATAAATAACATGAATTGAAATGAAAAACATAACTTTAACAGGTGCGATTAATAACAATCTGGGACTTGATACACTCAGTCCAGTAGTTTCAGGAATTGTCACAACAGGAATGTGCTAGGTCAACACCACACCTAAAATAGTCATAGTTCATCCATAAAAATTTTTATAGCCTCAGCCAGAAACTCCAGTCAGCCGATGCTCTCTTGAAACCTCTTTTGCTTCTCGTTCCCAAACCTTGACTGCCATCTCACAGTGTTGGTAATCCTCCACTAAATGGGGGTTCTCCTCTGGTAGGCAACAGTCTGCAATTCCAAGCCCGATGAAAGAGTTTCTATCTCAGGGACTATTGGTGTGACATTGGACGGTGAAACCAGACAAGAATTAACAATGCGACTTTGTCACAACTTGTATAAAATCTAGTATAAAGATCTTCATACCAGAAATATCTTCTCTTTGTTACGAAGAGGCATCATTGCATTCTGAGTCCAACCCATCCCCTAGGTGAAACCATACAAGAAACATCTGTGTGACCTTGTAACAAGATGATTAATACCTATACACTTAAATTATTTTTACAATTTAGCAATGTTTTTATTTTGTAGATTATATGCAGTTAAATTACATATTGTTATGCATAAAAACAATTTCTAAATATTGTGACATCGTGCAATCTTTACTGTTATCCAACACATATTATACGCCTTTTTGTATTTCCCATAAAAATTTTGCTTTATTCTGCTGGTTTGTGATAGAAATTTTTCCATTGTCCTCTAATAAACAAACTTAACTTTTTACTTCATAGTACGAACTAAAGGAATTATTGTATCACGAAAAATTTTGGGTATCATATTTCAGTGGAAATATCCATTTTGACCAGTCAAGAATCAATTTCGCACTTTTTTGGGACATCTGTGTGTATGGACAGAATAAATAACTCTTTTTTTACTTTGTTGTATGAAGTAAAGTAAGTATTGTAACTGTGAAAAATTTTAGATATCATATTTTGATGAAGATATCCATTTTGACAGCTCTCGAATTCATTTTGATGGGTTTTTTTTTGGTGTGACATCTGTACATACAGACAGAATAAAGGACTATTTTTTCCCAGGCGGGATTATGAAAGGGATTCAGAAGGGATTTTTTTGTGATGCCTGCATGTGCATATGTATCTTGCATAACTCAAAAATGATTAGCTGTAGATCGTTGAAATTTTGTATATGGGACTGCTAGAACATGTAGTTGAGCACCTCCCCTTTTTTGTTGCAATCAGTCACACCCAATATATATACACACAGGCACACACACTCTTACCTGGCTGAGTGAGCTTTTTTTTATTTATTTATTTATTTATTTTTTATTATTATTTATACTCTGATATTTTGGTAAAATGTGTATTTTCTGCTTTAAAAGGGATTGAATTATATTGTTCTTTTGTTCTGGTTAAGGTTTTTATGCCTTTAGTTAATGTGCATGTAATAGTAGTAAAATTATCAGCAATTTAAAAGTGGCACTAGGCCTAGCGAGAGCACCATTTGTAACTGTTAATAGAATAATGAATTAATAAGTCAGTTGGTGCACCAACTTTAGTGTCTTTTTTCACAGTGGAACCAAAGGTTAACTTTCAGTTTTGTGCACTGAAAATATTGTCTTTCTGCACATTCACCGAATTGCTTGTTTTTGCATAGAAACTTTAATTGGGGGAGGAGGGGATTCAAAATAAATAAAAATAAAGTGCATGGCAGCCTTAGTTTTTTGGGGGGTGGGTATTACAATTTTTAATGATGATGATTTGAGTTTTTATGTATTTTTGCCTTGCTGTGAAGTGGGAAATGAATTTATTGAATAAGAAAGATACTATCTCTAATGAAATTTCTGGAAATGACTTTGAATGAAGTGCAGAAAAAAAAAAAAAGTATAATTAAATATCCCATATAAGGAAGTCTTGTGGTGCCCACATCAGATTTTTCAAAAGTGGATTCAAAAGGAATTTTCTGTGATATCCGTACGTATGTATAATAAAATCTAATTTTTAATGCGGTCTTTCGGTTCCTATACTTATATTTAGAAAATTTTGTGCTTGTTATGAAAAAATAAAAATGAAGTTTGGCCTCCGTATGGCAAAAATTGACCGGTATTTAATTTCAAAATATGCAGTTCTTGGTGTCATTTTCAACTTACCTTGAGGAATCAGTTAATTAAGTCAGAATAATTTGCAGTACTAAGTTTAAATATAGTGAGGCAAAAAATATGTGTAATTTAATAGGGCGTACAAGGAAGTCACGTGGTGACCACGTGAGTTTCTTTCTTTTTCTTTTTTCTTTCTTTCTTTCTTTTTTTTTTAAGAAACTGAGTTTAATCCACAACTGGTTAATCAGGAATAGACCATATAAATAAAAAAGGTTAGGGCATATTTGTAGTGTGAAATAGGGAACTACTTTATGTTCTGTGTCCATCTAGTGAAATGATTTTGCTACTTCATTGAATTACCTTTGTATTCTACTGTATTTAAAAATTCTGTAATAGTTTTTTTTTGTATATATATTGCTGACACCTTGGTTTTTATTCTTATTTTAGGGAATGCTTGTATTTAAACAATATTTCTTGTTTTTATTAGTCATTTCTATTTAAAATTAATTTTGTTAATCATTGTTTACTGAATATTTGTAGCAGTTTTTTTATGGTATGCTGAATCGCAGTGTGTTCATTTTTTTAGGAATCTGAAAAACAAATTTCATTCAAACATCAGTTGGAGAAAATGTGAAGATTCCTCTGAAGTTTCAAGTAAATTTTAGATATTTTAGTATTCTTTTATTCAAAAATATTTTTAACTCATAAAAGCTGACAGTTTCTACATCTTTTTCTAGAAAATTGTTCATAGGTTGATGCAATGTGAATTTTCCTGAAATATATTTCATTTTCTTAGATACAGTTAGTTGTGGGCACTGTAAATTAAATCAAGCACTATGGCAATGTGATGCATGTGAATTAAATTTTTGTGGTGTTTGCTTTAATGATGTGAGTCCTTTTTTTATGTATATTTGAAAATTTTGCATTAAATAATTTTTGTACTGAATTTTTAATACGTTTATTATAAGGTATTTTAAAATAATGATTTTTAATCTCTGTTTTTTAATTTTATATTTCAAATAGTAATTTTTATTAAAAACATTAATTTATACCGTTTCAATAACTATATTCCTCTAAATATTAATATGATGGAAATATGACAAAATTATTTGATTAATTTGTGATCAAATTTCGTTTTCAGATTCATGATAAAATAAAATCTAAGAAAAAACATGAAGGAAAAAGAATCTTTGCTGAGCGGTATATTGCTATTTAATTTTCAGTTACTTTATATTTACAATGAATTGCTGTGATTATTTATAAAGTTAGAATTAAGATTATCAAAAATAATTTTGTATTTAAGTATCAATTTTTTATGTTATGGTCAAAATTTAATATTTCTTTTTATTCTTGATGACAAAACATTTTCAACCAAGCATTGATGAATTGACACAGTAAGTGCTTGTTCTGGAACTTTTTATATTTTTGATGCCATTGTGGTAAAGAGAAAAGCAGTGGCTTTGCATCTAACTTGCAAGTAAAGCAGAAAGCGAATGTGATATGTTCAAGATGAAATCCCTATTCAAAGTGATTAGGTTTAAGTTTACTTTGATTGGCTAGTTAATAACTCTCTAAAATCATTGTTGACTGAAGCTGTATATAACTATCTGCATCATGAGCTTTGTGTAAGAATAATATGGCAGTCATTTATTTTGAAATGATGCAGTTTAGAGAGATTTATTAAGAGCAATTATTATTTTTAGAATAGAGAGGAGAAATAACCAAATTAAAATAGAGATTCAAGGGACATGAAAATTAAAGTTAGAATTTTCCTTTACATAGTTTTTACCTTTGAGATGTCAATATATTGATAACATACTATATCGCGGAACATATTTTTAAATAATATGTGTATTTTATCTGCTTCGGCAAAAGGAAAAATCCGTATTTTCTATGTTAATTTGGCTTTGATGTGCTTTTTTTCTCCTTTGGGATTTAATAGTGTTTTGAATCATCTGCTGTGATCCTTAATCTGTCACAGGGATCGTAGCAGTCCTTATAAGTGTTTATAAGTCCTTATATTTGAAAATAAATTACACTCATGTCCATAAATTAAGGATAATGCAAAATCAGGCAAAGGAAGAGTTAGAAGCAAACCAATTTGACTTATTTGTAAAGCTTATTTATTAAACAAAAGGTAAAGAGCAAAAAAGATGCTGTATGTTTGATATTATTAAAAAAATTAGCGTTTTTTTCTCCCTGGAGCAAATTACAAAAAAAAAAAAAAAAAAAAAAAAATTTACAAAAAACCAATATTACATGGTTGGTATGATTGTTAATACATTGTATGTCTCCCAGACGATGCAATACAGTCCGTACAACGCCTGGTCATGCTGAGTATCAAATTATCGATCTGATCTGGGGGGATATTACACCACTCAAAAAAGCAGTGCTCTCCGAAGTTCCGGTAGACATGTAGGAGGAGGTTGACAGGCTGCAACTCGTCGGCCAAGCATGTCCCACACGTGCTCCACTGGATTCAAGTTCGGTGAGAATGCTGGCCAGTCCATATGGATGATATCCTCCGATTGAAGGCATTCACTTACGATGTTTGCATGGTGAGAACGGGCGTTGTCATCCATAAACACAAATTGTGCGCCCATGGCGCCCCAAAACAAATGTACATGTTGTTCCAGAATGACGTTCCGATACATTTGGCTTGTCATGGTTCCAATTTGAACAAGCAGGTCAGTTCTGGAACCCAGAATAATTCCACCCCAGACGAGCACTCCTGCACCACCGTAACGGTGTCGTTCAATGATGTTTTCTTGGTGGTAACGGGTACCTGGAGCTCTCCATATGAAAGTCCGGCGAGAATCAGACTGCAAGCTAAATCTGGACTTGTCGGAAAACATCACACAATCCCACTGTTGCAGTGTCCACAATGCATGCTCTCTACTCCAGGCTAACCGCAGGCGACAGTGAGTTGCAGTAAGTGGAACTCATCTGACAGGTGTACAAGCATATAGACCAATCTGCCCTAAGCGTCTGTACACGGTCTGCCTTGAAATTGTTGTACAGTGCCTTGAATTTTGTACAGTGGCTGAAGACAGCTGATGAGACAGGTCTCAGGCTGTGCTCCTCTTGTTTCTTTTGGCAGTAACTGCCAAATACTAGTCCTCATTCGGCGTTGTAACTCTGGGGCGACCTGTGCTGTAACATCTACTCACATTACCATCATCTTGGAATCGTTGCCAAAGCCTGGAGATGACACTCTGGGCAATTCCAAGTTCGTCTGATACTTCCAGATGGGTATGCCCTGTAATGTGTTTTTCAGTAATTTACAAAACAGACAATCTTCTTAGTAGAACATAAATTTTATTTCTAGTTCGCGGTGATAGACAAATTTTATACAATTCTTAAGTGGCAAAATTTTTATACTACTCCTAGCTGGTAAAATCTACAGAATTCTAATCTTTTTTTAAAACAATATCTCACGTTGCTGAGTAACGGTTTAATACAAATATGGCGTTGCCACTTCAACAATAATTATATTTACTTATTAAATAACAAGATATTACAACCTCTCCCCTCCTCTAGATAAACTTTAATTTATATTTTTATAAATTAAAGTTTACAGGTTTTTTTTTTTTTTTTTTTTTTTTTTGCAAAACAACAATATCAGCACAATACAGAATTGAGATACAAGATATAACATAATAACATACACTGAGGAAGAGAGAAAGGAACAAAATATTTTTTTTTTATCTATTTAGAAAAACAAATTATTTAATCAGGCCAGGGAGTACGACTTAATGCGTCTACATTTTTATAGTTTTTACCACTTTGATGAACGATCGTGTAATTGTAGGGTTGTAGTACTAGTGCCCATCTCATAAGTCGTGTATTTAGACTCACATTATTTTTGAGCCAAACTAAGGGATTATGATCGGTCATAATGAGGAATTTAGTATGCCTGTCTAAATAGCATTGCAGTTTCTTTATAGTGAATAATATAGCGGCACATTCCTTTTTTTGTGATAGAGTACTTTTTTTCAGTTTCTGTAAACTTTAAGTATTTCACTTAAGTAAACTTTTTTTTTGAAGTATAATACTGAATGTTCATTGTCTCATTCATCTTTCTGAGCTAAAATGACACCCATACCAGAGTTTGAAGCCTCAGTTTGCAAAATAAACTCCTTATTGAAATCATGTGCATGTAGTATATAGGCCTTTGAGACAGTTTTTCCTTTAGCTCTTCAAAGTGTGCTTTTGTGCACTCTTTTTTGTCCAATTTATTTTCCTTTTCTTTAAGTTTCCTTTCAAAGTTTCTGTTAAAGGTGCTGCGATAGATGAGAACATGGGAATGTAATGATTATAATATCCCGCTAATCCTAAAAATGCTCTGACTTGACTTTTTGTGGATGGCACTGGAAAATCAAGAATAGCTTTTACTTTCACTTCACTTGGCATTCTTATACCACGACCTACAATATGTCCTAGATATTTTACTGTATCTTATCTTGAGCAAATTTACATTTTATTGGTTTAATAGTTAGACCAGCGTCCTTTATTTTGGACAAAACGGCTTTCAGGTGACTTAGATGTTCTTCCCAGGTGTTTGAAAAGATTGTCACGTCATCTAAATATGGAACAGCAAAGTTTTCACAACCGTGAAGGATTTCGGCCATCATTTTACTAAATGAAAATGGTGCATTTTTAAGACCGAAAGGCATTCGTAGAGGTCTAAATGTGCCAAAACTTGTAACAAAAGTGGCTAATCTTTGAGCATTAGGTGTTAAAGGTAGTATTTGCCAGTATCCCTTTGTTAAATCCAAAAGAGTTATATATTTTGCTCCTGCTACCGTTTCTACTCATTGTTGCGATTGTTAGGCAAGGGGAAGAATTGTGTTTTTAGTCAACTTATTAAATTCAATTTTCTATAGTCGATATAAGGTCTTGGATCCCTCCCTGCTACTTCTACTAAAATTATAGGAGAAGTATGTAATCTGAATCTCCTATTTCAATTATTTTATGCTGAAGCATTTTATCGATTTTTGTTTTAAATATATCCGTTTGTCTAGGAGACATTCTGTATGGTTTACAGTGGATTGGGGTGTTTTCTGTCAACTTGAATATCATGCATTATTAAATGAGTTTTTCCAGGTTTATTAGAAAAGATTTTTGAAAACTTCAGCAGCGTATCATGCAATTCTTGAATCTGTTGTTCATTTAGCTTATCACTTAAGGAACTGTTTTCTTTAACCCCTTCGTGCCGACTGTCACGTATACATGCCAGCAACGAACACACTTATCTACCGGCCAACGCGCAGGCGTGCCAGAGCATTGTTGCGTTTTCTACCGAATGTCACGTATTTGTGCCAGTACCTTGGAACGTTTTTCAAACTATAATTTCTGGCACAAGATGGCACTGTATGTTTCAGATACATGTACATTAGACATTCTACTCGACTCGAATGAGAGAAGCATGACTCACATACACGTGTTTTTGATTATATAAACAAACGGGGAACTAAATGTTTCCGAATGTCGTGATTTATGACGTCTCTTTAAATCGCACTTTATTCGCACGTGGTAGTTGTTTATTGTAAGTAGAAGTTTTATATGCGCTAAAGCGTTGAGTATTGAATATATTGGAGCGTTGAAAATATATTGGATGAGGTTTTGTAAAAGTGCAGAAAATACTATTTTATATAAAACATTAATGTAGGACATGGAATTTAAGACTTCAGATTTATCACCAACTAGTCGAGGAAGACTGCCAAAATTTGGAAGAATTACACTAATGCATTTGTATAAAGATGTTTAACTCATTACATATGAAAAATATAAGGATGTGATGCAGTTATATCTTCTGTGCATCATGAATATTTAAAAAAGCATCCACATAATGAGCTTAGATGAAAAAAAGTATCTAAGCTCACAGTAATGATACACTTATCATTAAGTAGTTTAACAATAAGTAAATCTTTTTAATATTAAGAATAAAACCAATATTTTATTTATTATTATTATTTTATTAATAAACAAAATCACAGTGTATTTCAAGTAAAATTAAATTTTTGAGTATTGAAATAAAATGATTTTTTCAATTCAATAATTATTAAAGTGGTGTAAGTGCATTTATAACCCAGAAGAATATATTATTTTAGTTAAATTCAAATAAAAGTCATTTATGTAATCAAATTGCATATTTCTAAATTTATTGAAAGATTGCCAAACTTAGTACAATTTATTTA